TTCTATAATGTAATTCTTGTTTCTTATTATATAATGTAACTCTTGTTTTGTTTTCTATAATGTAATTCTTGTTACATTTCGCTATTCTATTGTAAGTCCCGACTGAAGCTACTTCCAAAAGAAGATTGAAGGTGTAAATCTTTCATTGTTACTGAGCTCTTTCTGTCTTTGATTTTTATACAGCTCTTCTTTCCTTTAATCTTCTTATTTTATTTGTATTTCATTCCTTGTTACTAAGCTCTTTCTATCTTTCTTCCGATTTCATTCTTTGTTACTAAACTCTTTCTATTTCATTCACTTTTACTATGTTCTTTCTTTCTATTTCATTCTTTGTTACTAATTTCTTTGTTTCTATTTCACTCCTTTTTACTAAGCTGTTTCTTTCGTTTATCTTCTTATTTCATTCTTATTTTATTCTTTGTTACTAAACTCTTTCTATCTTTCTCTCTATTTCATTCATTTCTACTAGGCTCTTTCTTTTTATTTCATTACTTGTTACTAAACTCTTTCTATCGTTCTCTATATTTCATTCTTTGTTACTGAGCTCTTTCTTTCTTTCTGTCTTTCTTTTTTTCTTTCTTTCTTTCTTTCAAATACAGAACTTCAAATGGCATTTTTTAAACTGCCGCAGATAAATTTTCAAACGCTAGCAAAAAAAATTAAATAGACATTGCGTTTTTCGATTTATTTTTTTAAGTCACTTCTGTTGCTGGCGTAAAGCCGACAACAAAAAATGAAAGGGAAAAACGTAATATAGATTGAAAATTAAAAACCAAAAGCTATCAAAATAAATTAATCTTCAGTTGCAACAATTCTAGATTAATGAAATGCTCGCAGTAAACCGATATTTCGTTACCATGGTGATAACGTCTTCAGGGATTCTAATATTCCCAATTATATTTCAAACTCAATTGCGAGTGTGGCTGTCCAGTTAAGCTCACATATACGTGTACACACCCATTTATTGTTTGAATTAACAGCTTTCATCATCAATCAGGATCAGGGACCATAGTATTTTCGGAGACCAACAAAATGACATTCCCTCAAACATACCGACTATTTGAAGCAGCAAACTATCCAACTAGGGCCAGAAATGGCTTGTTAATTTTAACGCCTTCAAAACAAAACTGATCTTTTAATAACTTTAAAGTACTGTATACTCTTCCGTGATGGTGAATGGGTGTTGGTTGGTCTCATCTCGTCTGGCCAGTGAATGCTGGTCGTTTTAGTTCAATCCTCTTCTTCTCTTGGTCAGTGCCACGAAATATTCTTTGGGTTCAGAGACGAAAAGCATCAACAAAGAAAACTTTTAACTTAACTATTATTTTATTAACCACGTAAAGGTTACATCTTCTATCAAGTGGGGGTACTACACCTATCCATTAGGGAACCGCTTCCATACACGAAAATCTCACACGTTCATTTCCTTTTATCATGTAACAACCAACTCTTGAAAGACTCTGGGGGAGGGGGCTTGCATAAACACAATCTAACACGTCTAGTTGGCCTGACGTCTAAACAGGAACCCCCAGTAAAAACTTAATCTATAACTCATTCCCACGTTCGGCTCAGCCAATCAAAATCGACATCCCTATTTTGTCTAACATCTGACCACAAAGGTCAGCCTCAGAAAGTTTGATCCAAAATACACTGCCACTAGAAAAATAATAGCCTGAAACTATTCTTTAACATTCCTTACCTAACCATAAAATTAAATTATAAATTTTATTTCAACTACATTATATTTAACAGAACATTTATTTTTATTTTTTGCCTTCAATCATCATAGCTGATTCTAACCTCCAAGAGAACAACTCACTGTAACGTTTTGGTTTCACGTTTTCCGCTGACATGAATCAATTGCAATGTTTGTTATTAGGAAAGGTGGTTCGTTAAGACGCGCTAAGAAATTTCTCTTGCCAGAATCTATCTTGCAAATTAATAAGTCTACCATTTGCCCATGCATCTAATATTGCTGCCAAATCTAGTTAGGTGCTTCTGTTTTTATATCTAAAGATTCTTGACAAAATAAAAAAATCTCTGCAATGTTATTGGCCTTGACCAGGCATCTCGGCTTCACTTTCCCACCGTTGTGACGTAGCTTTCTTTTGACTTTTCTATAAATAGCTATATGACAGTTGCTCTGACGATCTGTCCTCTTTTGTATCTCGATTTCACGAATTTGAGCGCAGTACAGGATTTTTTATTGTCCTCTCTGTTTCTTTCACTCTCAGTAAAACGACGAAAAGGACACATAATCACGACACTCTACACGTACGCACATCCGCGCAGACGGGCTCATGGGCGCATGGGCGCACGTGGTCCAATGCACACATACACTATGAAAAAAATATTGCACCAATGATAAGTATATACAAAAAGAAAAATCGAGAAATATAAGCAGTCAATTGCTGATAACCCTGACGAGTGAACGGACGGGGGAAAAAGTGAAAAACCTTTTACTTTCCATTAATTATATATATATATATATATATATATATATATATATATATATATATATATATAGGATTATGTATACGGAATAAATTCCAATAACCAAAAAATACTATTCTTAAAAGAGCGCTCAATACAGAGTAGAGCAAATATAATTTATTTGAAAATTATAACATAAATGTCATATACATATTGTGTATATAAATATCTCATATATACTTATATATGCATGAATACCTATAAACGAGTACAAATATATAACAATATGTAACAAAATACATACATATGTATGTACGTATGATCACTTTTCATTTGTATGTATATATTGTCGTTTTTTTGTTTTTTTAAGAGTCGTGGATATCTATTCCCTGTTTCGTTCGTGTTTTTGCGTCTTTATATATCTATGCATTTGTGTATTATAATCTTACTATATATGTATTGTCTTTTGCAAGATTGCACCCTCACCTGCTCATACTATCACTTGAAATCTATCTCAGTTGTAACGAAGCTCTGCACAACATTAGATTTTAAAGTTTATTTTAACTAAATTTTGACTTTTCAATTAAAACAAAATAAATAACAAAATGTATATTTTTCTTCAGTTTCTTCTTTAAATGATTTTATATTTTTTTAAATTTAATACTGATTAAATTTAAAATTGGTAATTTTTAATTTTCAATTTTATAGTAAAATTCAATATTAATTAGTTGGAATGATTTCTCTTTCAGTCTAACCCTAACATTAAAGCATTAATTATTATAACCAAGATTCGTTGTCATTTTTTTTTAATTGGCATACACTTGTATTTTGATTGGTCATTGCAGATTATGTAACAACGTTTCCCCTAGCGAGGGGTGTTTGATTAATTTGAACCTTTAAAACCCTTTATTCTATATTCAACGCCATCACTTGATAAGACACCAGAAGTGTTAAAACAAAATGGCTATTTTTGTAGTGATTTTATAATATATTCATGTTATAATTTTCGAATAAATTATATATATATATATATATATATATATGAAGAAATATACTCTTAAGGTGTGCTATATTTATGGGATAAAGTGCTCAATATCAGAGATAGGGCGTGTGTTCATGCTATATACAATCGTCGGGCCACCTATATATTTATATATGCCATATATATACCATATATATATATATATATATATATATATATATATATACGAGGTCAGATCAAAAAGCATACGGTCTGCTGAGTACGCAGAGCGAATTGACCTTGAACGCTGTCGCCTATACATAGTACGTTATAACGTTCTCCTTCACTTCCGTTGTTTATAGTTGAGCTTCGAAGGAAAGTGTTCACAGAGGTTCGATTAGGAACAATGGCTTGTGAAGCAGTTTTTGGTCATTCCCAGGCCCGACAACCACAATATTCACCCTATGTCGCCCCTTGCGACATTTTTTCTCTTCAAAAATCTACTCCCACATGAAAGGAACAAGAGTTCAAGACGTTAAAGAAATCCAAGAGAAATACTGACGAGACATCTTCTGCTCGCTACCCAAAAAAAGAGTTCCAGGAATGCTTCCATCAATGAAAACGACGGTGGATGGAGTGTGTGGCTTCAGAAGGGGACAACTTCGAAGGAGATTAAATGACGAATTGATATGTGTTGTAGTTTTCTTTTTGAATAGCACCAGTCCCAGTACTTTTCGATCAAACCACGTATATAGATCTTACGTAAGTATGCATATATTTGCTTCCCATCAAAGATCATACAGTGAGTATATTACTGACAGTAAAGGAAAAACTTTGCTATTGGTTCTTCAGCAGGCTGAAAATCTAAAACTAACGACTGGAAAAACATTATTGCTCTACAAAAAACCTTTGAAAATTTGACGAGTTAATGACACCGCGAAAGGACATAGATTTGGACGTATATTTGCTCAGATGACGTTTTGGGGTTTTACTTAAAACATTTTGCAATGTCTGAACTAATTTGAACGCATTTTTATTAGTTTCCACTTTTACGTAGATTTTGGTCGACCATCCAATGTAATTCTAATTAACCCAAGTGTAAATGGCTATTTCGTTCAAGAACACGTTTCATGATAAGTCTATCCGGTTGAAAATGGTATGAAAAATGTTCAAGCGAGAACTGGAAATCAAAACATCTTCTGATGCTTGGTTCTAATGGTCATCGTCTGAATCTTTGTATGCATCATCGTCAACATGGCAAACCAATACGATCAAACAAGTCATTCTCAAATGGCTTCCTTATCTATCGGCAATTCGAGCACGTTTCACTTAATTTGTTCATTGCAATTTCGTGACTGCAGCGAGCAGCTATCAACTTTGACACAACGGAAAAGGCGTAAGAGTTTCTGAGTGTACACTGGTCCATTGTAAATATTGGCCGTAGAAAGATGTTAACACAGGCCTTACTTACTAAATTAGCCCAGATACTGTCATAAGAGAAAAAAAAACATCAATATTTGTATCCAACTTATTGGTGCTTACTAAAATTATGATGTCATAATTTACGTTCGGGCATAATTTTAATTTATTGGCTACCTTTTGGGGGCTTGCGGCAATATCATGGTGAAACACCAGTTCTCTTACGATCAACAAAGTTAAGCAACGTCGGGCCTGGTTAGTACATACATGGGTGACCGTTTCGAACTACTAGGTTCTGCAAGCTTCGATGTGCTGTTGGTGTAATGGATAATACCTCCGAATTGGAAATCAGACAGCTGAGTTCAAATTCCAATCGGTTTCGTTATAGGTACAAATACCATTGGGAAAGATATAAATCCACCCCTTCTCCCCCCAGCTATGGATTAAATAGTAGGACTTATATTAGTAAATCATTATTATCAGCAAAACAATTCTTACAATCTAAAAATATTGTAAAAATTGTTAAATGTAATTTTTTTAATAAAATTTTCAACATTCGGCATTTGAAATCATTATTTTTTACCTATGAAAATATTTGCTTTCTGTGTGCAGAAAATAAGTTAACTAAAATGAGTATTATGGTAAAGTCAGTGGGCAGTGAATTCTTAATTTTATTAAAAGTAACGGTACATGCATTTAGGACATGTGTCTTTGTTTCTGCTATAAATCTTTTATGTTTATGATTGATACTGAAACATATTCGGAAATGATAACAGCAATGGTAATATTAACTGTTTCCCTATAAGAAAATAGCCATTTTAGTTGTTGCTGCTGCTGCTGCTAGAAGTCCTAAAGTGATTTTTTTATTTGATACAGTTCTTTGCTTGCGAATATGTAGCGCCAGTCCACAATGTTCAAATAAGTACGACCTTTGCCAAAACCCTCAAGCATCATTCGCTCAAAGACTTTTTCCCCATTGATCCGAGGAAGCGGTTGTATTATTTTTATAATCGATATCACCCTATGCAAAGCAGTAAAGCAACTAAGACACAAGGGGTGGGGGTTACAGGGTGTGGAAGAATTAGGAACAGAGACATTAATAATGAGCGGGAAGAGGAAAGAGCAATCAAGAGGACAGTAGATAGTGATTGACACTGCATTTAAATTTTTGAAGATTAAGGTTGATTGAAAAGCATGGACGTCCCCCCCCCGGGTGTCGCTGCTGCGCCAAATGTGACGTCCGCCTGGTTGCGTCCGTCGTACTATCCTGTCCTGTGACGACCAACTGGCTTGGTATTGGTCGCGGCACCAAATGTGACGTTCTAACCTTTTGGTGATTCGGATGGGAATCTGGTTAGATTCGGTATCAGCCTCGTCGTTCCCAGCTCGCCTCCAACGTCTGGTTACCGAAGTAACTGCTTTGATTTCCGTAATGCAAGCTGAGTTCAAATAAGGGTGATATCGCACAAGTATGTGTGAAAGAAAAGAAAATAATAACTCGAAAAGTTCAATTGTGTTAAAAAAAGAATAACAATACTTTATATCTGGTTGCTGAGTACAGGACTGAGTCTTCTTCCAACCCGCTATATGGATTCGTGACACTTTGTGTTTGTTAGGCGAGTCTTAACATCTTAAGTTGTTTGTTCTTTTAAGAAACTGGTTCTTGGTGTGTCTTCAGGCGAAATTCGTAAAACTTGTTTTGGTGGTGTGAGTCTAAGTCGTTCTTCAGAAATAAATTGTTCTTGGTTAGAAGATGAGTCGTGATTCTCGTGAATCTTAGTCAGCTTCTGCGAGGCGGTACCAGCTCAATCCTCTCAAGTGGAACTGAACTCCAACTCGAACTGCACTAGATCTCCAACTGGAACTGATTTTCGCTCGCTGCGACTTTGCTTATATGGACGCCGACCAAAACCGGGGTGGGCTTGTCGGGGTTTGAGGTTCCGTGATAATTACAAACCCACAATCCACTTCTTTTGTTTTCGATCAGGAAATTTTATTATTTTCCATTTTTGGAAGTATTCTCGTCCTCCCACCTTCTTCTGTTCTCGTATTGGTATCTCACCATACCCTCAGAGGGTGTCAACGGTTTTCCCTCTCTCTCACAGTGGCATCTCACACATGTCCCCTCAATGGGTGCCAGCAGGCCTCCCCTCCTGCTTCACATGATTACCTCCGCCCAATACGCCTGCTATCATTCAGCCAATGGGCGCCCAGCGGCGTGGATGTGGCCAGACTAGCCTGGGTTTAAAAAAAAATCTTGCTCAAAGAAAAAAAATATTTTATCTTTTTTCTTTTTCACTTTTCCTTTTCTTTCTTCTCTTCGAGGAGACCTCAATCCTAGACTTTTTAGTTTTTAACCGAATTACCTGGAATTCGTCAATGAGATTTTCGCCAATTAACAAGTGGGTGGTCAACTAGACGTACCTACACTCCTGGCGCCAACCACTGATCCGATAAAACAATTTCGCCAACACAGCCGAATTTCATATGGAAGTCGTCAACGAGATTTTCGCCAATTATCAAGTGGGTGGTCAATTAGACGTTTCGCGTTCTGGCGTTATCTATTCCCGATAAAATAATTTCGCCACCACAGCCAGTTTTCGACACAAAACAGATGCCTTTTTCCAAACGACTTTTCCGTAGATAACCAATTGGTTGGTCTTTTGTTTTGGCAACTGTGTGTGGTCCAAATGAACATTTTGCGACACAGTCAATGTTTATCTATTTAGAATTCTGTCTCTGAGGTTATTTGGCCAACCTGGAATTTCCACCCGCCCCTTAACCTAAATCAGATTAATTCCAGTATCTTCCTTTTTACCTTCTCGACAATGGAAAATAAAAATTTTACCACTTTTCCTTGTCAGAAAAATAACACTGCTTAGTGTCCTTTTCGTGATGGCTTCTTATCACCTAATTTTAATTCTCGCCTTTCTTTTTTTTCTTCTTTCTTTTTAGCAAGCCAAATAGTGCGGGAAAAGAAACTATTAGCATAGAATTTACAGTTACATCTAGCCAGTTCAACTGTAAATTGATAACGCAAGTCTAGTACTGCGCTTAAATTCAAAAAGTCTAGGTACCATAGCGAAGAGATCAGCCGAACAATTACCATGAAATTATTTATAGAAAAGACACAGGGAGGCAACCTTATGGCGATGGGAAAATGACTGAAGCTGAGCTGCCAGATCAGGACCAATAATATTGCTGATTCTTCTTTGGATTTCATCAAGGAGTTAAAGGTAAATAGCAGGGGCACTGGACCATATGTGGTAGTAATATTCTAAGCCTGGACGAATGGTAGACTTATAGATATGTAAGATAGATTCCGGAGAGAAAAATTGTCTCGCACGACAGAATGAATCAAATTTTTTAGCAGCTGACCTAGCAATGGATTCAATATAGTCTTTCCACTTCATGTCAGCTGAGGACGTTAGCCTAAGAAAGCGCAACGTCCTGGAAGTTAGCATCAGCCATGCTAATGGAAGACAGACAGGGGTCTCTCAGATGATTAATTGATAGCTGTTTATTTTTGGATGCATTAAAATTAACAAATCCTCTTTGCCCCAGTTAGCGACGGACTTGAAGTTGTTTTGGACATTGGCTGCCATTTTGACCTTGTCAGACTGATCAACCTTATTATCGAGGAAGGAGTAAATGGTTGTTTCATCAGCGTAGATGCCAAACTGACAGTTGCTGTCATCGGGAAGGTTATTAATGAAAATTAAAACTGGGTAGGACCAAGGATAGAACCCCGGGGGACACCCGTTTTAGCACAAAAGGATCTAGATGAGTGGCCGTTCAGGATAATTCTCATTTCATGATTTGATAGGAAAGACTGAATCAGTTCAAAGATGTGTCTAGAGACACCATAACTCTTCCACTTGTGAAGAAGACTTGTATGCCAAACCCTGTCGGACTCTTTTGAGATGTCCAAAGCAACAACCTGAGCTTCACCATTCTTATTTAAAGCTTGATAGACTCTTTCCGTAATGATCGTCAGTACATCAGCAATTGACGTAGAGAAATGAAAGCCATATTGCTTGTCAGAAAAAAAGGTCTTGCGATAAAAGATGTTTAGATAGATTGTACCACTATACCACACATCCATATCATAGTCTCGATCTGGCGAGGCTATTTAAGAACATGGAAAATGAAACAAAAATAGAGAAAAGGCGGGAATCTAATGATGAACCAATACTAGAGGTACTTGATGAATATATTCTATTTGTCCGTCATTTTTTTCTTGTTTCAGCATTAAGTTGCTCATTGAAATGAAAGACTTTCCTTGAAAGCAGGGAAATCTTTTTAAAGAGTTTGTAAAAAAGGAACCTAACAATATTTTCTTTCTTTTTTTTTTTATCGATATAACAAGCTTTTACTTTCGATAATAATTTTTAAGAAAGTCTACTAAACTCTTTTACCAACAACAACAACTATAACTAATATAATAACTGTAAGCTTTTAAATAAAAAAAATACTACGAGAGATCAATATTTAAACAAACTTTGCATGATGGTTGAGAAGTTTGTTTCACATGACATTTCATATGAATAATTAAGAGTGGTCTCCCCTTGTTTTGTTACTTTTTCTCTTTGAGAAAGCTATTTCTGTTTACCGGGACTATAAAAGGACACTATGCGCGAACCTTGTATTCTCAGTTGAATAAAGCTTTCTTAAAGCCTACACCTGCGTATTTTTGTCATTCCACGTGGTGAATTCGATTCTCACTGGGTGTTCCACTACTGTAGTCTGGTGTCAGATTATGCGCACATTGACTAGCGGCATAAGTTGAAACAAACCGAAGCAATAGTTTTGTTTTTTGTTGATTTTTTTTCAGTTACCTCCCTTACGCTTTGAGCGATGTAAGCCGATATTTAAAAATGAATGTTAACTTTAATGCCCGGGATTCTGTTTTGTCATTTCAGTTCCCCCCACCACCACCACCACCCGCAAAAAAGTACCTCTTTTCCACGTGGGCCTGCACATACATACGCGCGTGCGTATGCACACACACACAAACACACGTGCATGCGCGAGCGCACACACACACACACACAAAGATTGGAAAACTGGGATCCATTTCCTAATATATTCCACTTCTAATGGAAAGCAGGAATAAATGCAAACGACAACAAGAATAAAATATATACAAAAATACATTTAATCCAGACAACGCTGTGATCATAATTCCTTCATTTTGTTGGTATTTTATGGTTTAATCATAAACAGTGTATCATGGGACCCATATAAATCCACCCTTGAAATTAATTTTTTTTTTTTTTTTTAAAAAGATGAAAAACAGATA